GCAACAGCACACCACCCCCAACCCAGCTCAGCAAAATCAAGTACTCAGGGGGACCCCAGATCGTCAAGAAAGAAAGACGGCAAAGCTCCTCCCGCTTCAACCTCAGCAAGAACAGGGAGCTACAGAAGCTTCCTGCCTTGAAAGGTAAACCCAGACAGGGGCTGAGGACCTGGCCTTGGGGCCACGAAGGTTGGCGTAGGAGTCTGTCTTTTGGGAAGACACGGGGGTTTCAACTGTGACGAGGTGCCAGGAGGCGGAGTGCTGGCAGGGTGTGAAGGGAAAACCCACAGAGGCAGAGGGACATGCATGGAGAATGATGGGCCGTACTGACCGCTGACACCTCCACAGATTCGCCAACCCAGGAGCGCGAGGAGCTCTTTATACAGAAGCTGCGCCAGTGCTGTGTCCTCTTTGACTTTGTATCAGACCCACTCAGCGACCTCAAGTTCAAAGAGGTGAAGCGGGCAGGGCTCAACGAGATGGTGGAGTATATCACCCACAGCCGCGACGTTGTCACCGAGGCCATCTACCCTGAGGCCGTCACCATGTTTTCAGTGAATCTCTTCCGGACGCTGCCACCTTCATCGAATCCCACAGGAGCCGAGTTTGACCCTGAGGAAGATGAGCCTACCTTGGAAGCTGCCTGGCCACATCTCCAGGTACCGGGCCAAAGGGACGGGATGGGTCAGGCTGTAGGACACAGGGTCTTCAGGACTGCCGTAAGGGGGCATCCCCCAGTCCTTGGGTCAGGTCTCAATGAAGTTTCTTTTCCTCCACAGCTCGTTTATGAGTTTTTCTTACGTTTCTTGGAGTCTCCAGATTTCCAGCCAAACATAGCCAAGAAGTACATCGACCAGAAGTTTGTTCTTGCTGTGAGTCTGAGCTTCTTGCCGTCCCCATGAACTGTAACCCCACATGCCTTACCTGTGTCCTGCCTGCTCCTCCCCCTCAGTTTGATAGACTGGGAATTCAGCTGTGTCTAGTGTAATCGGGGAAACTTCTAGTGTAATCGGGGGGGAAAAAAAAGGAATAAAGTGCCTCTCTCCACTCTGGGGTATAAACATGCATGCCCAGGTAGCAGTGAATGAGCTGTATAATAAATTCACTCCGCTTTTTAGACCCGACCCCATTCCCCAGAGAACTTTGGGAGTTCTCCTGGCTGGAACCTTGTGACCCCAGCCCATACCTTCCCTGACTGCTGCCTCATTCTCTGCCTTTCCTAACCTTCTGCTCCTAGCTCCTGGACCTATTTGATAGTGAGGACCCCAGAGAGCGGGATTTTCTTAAGACCATTTTACATCGCATCTATGGCAAGTTTTTGGGGCTCCGGGCATATATTCGTAGGCAGATCAACCACATCTTCTACAGGTGAGGCAATGAGCCCAGGCTTGGGAGCACAGCGTGCCGCTGCCATGGTGGGATGGGGACAGGAAGGCAGGAAGGACTACAGAACGTTGGGGGAGTGTCAAGAGGGCCATCTTTCCTTAGGTTCATTTATGAGACTGAGCATCACAATGGGATTGCTGAGCTCCTGGAGATCCTCGGCAGGTGAGTGAGTCGGGGTGCAGGTGCCGTGGAAGACTGGGGGGGTGGGGGTGGGCAGTGGGGAGTACAGATGCCGTGGAAGACTGGGGGGGTGTGGGGGTGGGCAGTGGGGAGTACAGATGCCGTGGAAGACTGGGGGGGGTGGGGGTGGGCACGGCGTGCTTGAATATAAGCCCTTGGTCCTAAAAGCATCCCTTGGCTTCTAGCATCATCAATGGCTTTGCCTTGCCCCTTAAGGAAGAGCACAAGATGTTTCTCATCCGTGTCCTGCTTCCCCTTCACAAGGTCAAGTCCCTGAGTGTATACCATCCTCAGGTGAGCTGCCTGTCTCTGAGGACCCTCACCTGAGCATCAGAGACTGGGGGAAAGGGCTTCCTCTGACGCGGGGTGTGTGTGTGTGTGTGTGTGTGTGTGTGCGTGTGCGCGCGCGCGCGCTCTACACCTCCCCTTCGTTCTGGGATCTCATTTGTGAGAGCTGAGCCTTCTGGGAACTGCATTTTGACTTCCATCCTCAACCTTTTGCAGTTGGCATACTGTGTGGTGCAGTTCCTGGAGAAGGAGAGCAGCCTTACTGAGCCGGTAATTTCCTTCCCGGGGCCCCAGGCATCAGCAGTGTTTGCCCACCTATCTGTCCCTGTTGGTTTGGTTTCTGCCATTTGTGGTACTGGCCGTCAAACCTAAGACCTTGTACATCTCAGGCAAGAGCTTTATGACTGGGCAGGAGACCCTAGCTCCAGTCTGTAACTACTGAATGATGCTGTAAATGGATGCTCAGGACTGAGTGATGTGGCTTCCTTTCAAGGGGATCAAAACCTATGTACTCAGGAGACTGATCCAAGTCAAAGGAGCCATGGGGTTAGCTGAGTGTAGGCGTGGGGCAAGGCAATGGAAAGGCTTCCCAGAGAACTGAGCAGGGTTAGGAATTTTATCCTCACATCTTCACAGGTGATCGTGGGACTTCTCAAATTTTGGCCTAAGACCCACAGCCCCAAGGAAGTGATGTTTCTGAATGAGCTAGAGGAGATTCTGGATGTCATTGAACCCTCAGAGTTCAGCAAAGTGATGGAGCCCCTCTTCCGCCAGCTCGCCAAGTGTGTCTCCAGCCCCCATTTCCAGGTAAGACCAAAACCGCATCTGCCAGACACGGCAGAGCAGGTCATGAGGACTGCAGGGAGTGCCCACTGAATGTCACTTCTCCTTGCCAGGTGGCAGAGCGTGCCCTCTACTACTGGAATAATGAGTACATCATGAGCCTCATCAGTGACAATGCCGCCCGAGTCCTCCCTATCATGTTTCCTGCTCTCTACAGGAACTCCAAAAGCCACTGGAACAAGTAGGGCACCGAGCTTGGGCTGGTGCTGGGATCTGGGTATTCAAAACTCTTGAGGGTGCAGAACTCACCGGGCCACTCAGCCAGCAGAGCGGGTGCCCACCAAGTATTACTAAGTAGGTCCTTGAGGAGTTGAGGCATCCTTGCAGTACCAGATAGCTGACCTGTTTCATACCACAGCCTGGGAGGCGTGCTTTTGTAGACAAGTGTGTCCTGCAGAGGGCAAGTGGAGTATGGTGCCAACAATCCTTCCCGGGGACTCCATGAAGCCTGGGCCAAGGGAGGAGCCTGGGCCAAGGGAGGAGCCTGGGCCAAGGGAGGCAGAGGATGTGGGGCCAGGGTTAGTAAGGACCATCAAATGCTCTCAGGCCATACGATTTAGTAAAGGGTTGGAAAAGCTCTTGGCAGATACTTGAACACAAGCAAATTGGGGCTCTGGCACTGCTGGCAGGCTCTGGCCTCCAGCACACCATCTCTCTCTGGGTGGCAGGACAATCCACGGACTCATCTACAATGCCCTGAAGCTCTTCATGGAGATGAACCAGAAGCTGTTTGACGATTGCACACAACAGTACAAGGCAGAGAAGCAGAAGTGAGTCTTGCCTCCTAGAGGACTGGGACCTTCCACCTCCAGCTCACTGTCCCCAGTCCCAACCGACTGTTCCCTCCCACAGGGGCCGGTTCCGGATGAAGGAAAGAGAGGAAATGTGGCAGAAGATTGAGGAGCTGGCCCGGCTCAATCCCCAGGTGAGGCTTTTATGCCGCGGCCTGGTCCTTGCAGAGTTGGGGAGAGGGCCTGGGAGAAGGCTGAGGCTCTGACGTGCCCGCTTGTCCCTGCCTTGCCCTCACAGTACCCCATGTTCCGAGCCCCTCCGCCACTGCCCCCTGTGTACTCCATGGAGACGGAGACCCCCACAGCAGAGGACATCCAGCTCCTGAAGAGGACAGTGGAGACAGAGGCGGTGCAGGTGAGCAAGCGCCATGGGCAAGGAAGGGTCAGGTTGGAAGGCAAGAAGAGTTGTAGGAGAGAGGGGTCAGGCCAGCAGAACCAAACAGGGGAAAACTGAGTTCCTTGGGAACCGGTCACCATTGCTGGCCTTCTCCCTGTGCACACACAGATGCTAAAGGACATCAAGAAGGAGAAAGTGCTGCTCCGGAGGAAGTCAGAGCTGCCACAGGACGTGTATACCATCAAGGCACTAGAGGCACACAAGCGGGCGGAAGAGTTCCTGACTGCTAGCCAGGAGGCCCTCTGACCCCCCCCCCCCAGGGTCCCAGCCCGCCCGGCCCCAGGACGCAGCCCGGCCCCAGGACGCAGCCCGGCCCTCTACCCTCTGCTCCTTATTGGCTGACCTGGGGCAAAACAGCACCTCTCAGGCTACTCTAGAGGATGCAGGCACCCCTAAGTGTGTTCATGCCTCCCTGTGGCTAGTACAGACAGGCTGGGCACTGCGTGCTCAGTGCTTAGACAACTTGGGGTGCCTGTCCCCCTGCTCCCCACCCCACAGCTACCTGAAACTGTTGTGAGCAACGCAAAGACAGGAATTAATGCTCCTCCCTCCCCTCATTTCCTCCTCATCTGAACTTGAGGTGTCTCTCCTCCCCCCCCCCCCCCCTTTGCAGGGTAAAGTAGGAGGAGCGTGTCACCAAAGTTACATCAAGATCCATTGGCCACTGGAGTGAAGAGCTGGGGGGGGGGGACCAACCCCCAGCAGGGCAAACAGGCCCCTAGCCCTAGCATTGTGCAGGCAGGGGGTTTACCCTCCACCTAACCAGGACAACACAGAGGTCAAATAAGTATGTTACGGACACAGGATGAGTATAGGGCACAGTGGACCAAGGTGGGGAGAGCGAAGCACCTTCCCTGCCTGCTACGGCATTCAGCAGTCCTGGGATCACAAACACGGAAGGGACCACCCTGTGGCTGACTGCTTTCCTGTGCGGCGGTTCCCATAGCTACAGAGAGGGAGGCAGGAACGGTGCCCCAGGCATGGCTCCTGCGACGCCTATTTATTTCCTTGTTTATGCAGATGCTGGGCAGGCCGTCACCTGTAGCCCATGGGCACTCACAAAAGCAAGGACTCGGGAGGGCTGGACCAGGTTTCAGGGGCACAGGCAGTTCGGCTTTCGGCTGTGTACATAGGGTGCTTTATTCTCCACACAGAGTGATACATGCTAAGGTGGGTTGGGCTTGGGCCAATGTCCCCATATGTACAGAACTGAATAAAGTGGGTCTCTGAGAGGTCTGATTTGCCTTGATGTGGAAAGGGACATGGGAAGGTGGATGTTAAAAGAGCGATGTGTTAGTCCTGTGCTGGTCCTGGCTTGAAGGGAGGAGACGGGCAGCTCCCCATGTGGTTACTTCCAGGCAGGGGATGCCTGCCGGGCTTGGAGGGCTTTCTGTACTACGTCTTCCCACTGAGCATCCGATATCTCCCGAGCCCAGGCAGGAACCCCTGGCGCAGGCAGGCTCACTCCAGCCATCGTCCTCTTCACCAGCTCCACGTGTTCTGAAAGCAGAGCCACAGGCTGGTTAGGGAAGAGACAAGGACCCGCTTCCTCTCCCGATTCCTTGATTAATCAACCCTGACCCATGGAATCACCAATTCCACGTGATTGCCAAGTCTAGCTAAGTAGCCTTTCACCCAGCTTCTGAAGTCTGCAAATGTTAACAAACTTCCTTCTTTGTGAGAATGGCTTTTCTTACTGCCTTTAAACCAATGTGTCGCCTTTGTGGGTACCCCGGATGAGAGACGGAGCCTTTTCACCTGGGTCCATGGGGATAGAGCTGTGGCTGCTCAAGGCTGCAGCTCCCTCCTCATCTTCATCCTCACTCTCTAATGGTGGGTCTGGCAAATGAAGCCCCAGGGCCTGCACAAACAGAGAGGAGGTCATCTGCATCCCGCTTTTGGGGCGTTGTTTCACCGTCTTTGGAACAATTCCCTCCAGCATACCTGGATCCGGTCTTGGATGTCAGCAGCTCCATCTTCTCCCTCACCCACGGGTGCCAGCTCCACCTCCTCTTGTTCGGGGTCTTGATTGAGCGGCTGGTAGGAGTATCCTGCTGGGCCTGCCCCTGCTTCCTCCTGCTCTTCCTCGGGTTCTTCACTGCTCCAATCTCCAGTTCCTTCCGTAGGACCCTGATGTGGCCCTAAGTCCTCAGTTTGATTGGGGAAGATACGCTCGGGGCCCATGGTGTCTCCCCCTAGAACTACTGCTGCCATCCGGGCAGGGGCTGCAAGGACAGAAAGGCAGGGTAGGGATCGGATGAGACCAAGTCCGCTCTCGTCCCACGATTTGCAGCGTCCTTTTATAGTCACGACACCCACCTTCCCTCTCACGGGGCATCTTCCTACCTTCTCCCATCCCTTGTGCCTCCCCGCCTTAAGTCTGGGTTCTCATATTGAACACGAGCCCAGCAGTCTTTAACTCTCCCGGTTCCTGAATAGACAAACCACCGGAGGCTTTCACCGCTTCCGAAGAGACCCTCCCGTCACGCCCCTCCCCGGCTTGGTAACCGAGGTCGCCAGAGTACCCACGATCGCGCGTCCCCGCCCCTCACTCTCCGGGACACCGTAGTACCGCCTGATAAAAAGCCCTTCGAGCCCACGGGTGCCCCTTCAATGGCCCCAGCTGCGGCGTCCCCTACCCGCCCCCACTGATTCTTGGCGTTGGTGTTCCCTCGCGCCTCACCCTCTCAGAGCCCACAGCCGGACCCACACCTTCACTTCCGGCGGGGCAGGACGTACGGCGACTCTTAGTCCTCCAGCCCCGCCCTGTGCCCAAGACTGACGCAAGTGAGGACCAGAAGTCCTTCTCTTGCCCCGCCTCCGCCATCCCCTGCCCGGACCACAAAGAACTACATTACCCAGTGGACCTCGGGAGAGCGCCGTATTCTGCGCATGCGTACATTCCTCCCCCCCAATCCCCGCTCGGTCTGCCGGTCCTGAGGTAACTTGCGGACTACAAGTCCCTGGGACTACAAGTCCCCGAAGGCGTCGGGCCCAGGGTTCTCACTGCACGTGCGCGTCCTGCTGCCCGCCGGAAGGACGGAGCCTGGCAGTGTTTATCTCGTTGGGGACCGAGGAATCGGTTGGCGCGCAACGGGCTCTAGGCTGCCAGCAGCGCGAGGACCCGCGGCCCCACCCCGGCCCGGCCTGGCAGGTAGTCTGGGATGGGGTGAGGGATGAGAAAGATTGGAGGGTCTGGCGACGCCCAAGCCTACCACTGGAGTCGCCGAGGAGGATGAGATGGCGGTGGGGAGGGAGCTAGGGGGATGCTGGGAAAGAGGAGAGTTAATGGACAGCGAAAGGGCTGGGGAAAATGGCCTGGAGACGGGTGGGAGAGACCTGGTGGCTGGAGGAGGCGCTGAAAGAAACTGCACTGGTGTGTTCTGAAGAGAATCAGGGAGCTGAGCATAATGGCAGGGGGAGGGGACAGTGCCTGGCCTTGTGGGGGAGGGGCGGCTGAGAAAGGTGGAGTTGAGAGGGGTCGAGTCCTACTCAGAGAGGAACGTCTGTGGGTGGGAGGGGACAGTGAATGCTTTCTTCCCCTCCTGGAGGTAGACGAATTAGAGGGCGCTAGTGTGGACCTTGGCGTGATGGGAGAAGGTGACACAAGGGAACTGCAAAGCTCTCAGGAAATCCAGAAGGGAAGGCTCGCAAGTGGAGAGCGATCAGGGGAGGGAGAGCATCAAGTGAATGGAAGGTTGGAAATGTCGTAGTGGTGGTGAATGCCGGAGACGCGGGGGTCCTGTTTAACCCCTGCCTTCGAGTTAACCTTGTGAATGAAGATGATGGGGTCTTTACCCCACTCTCTTTGGGATTGCTAGTCTCATCTGTGCATTTCATTTTATCTGGACGTAACCTTCAAGGGAGAGTGAAGGAAGGCTATGAGGGAAATTGATAGGTCTCCCCTCCCTTTTTTTTTTTTTTTTTTTTTTTTTTTTTTGAGGCAGGGTCTCACTCTGTAGCTCGGGTGGCCGTGACCTCATAGACATCCCAGTCTCCCCAGTGCTGAGATTAAAGGTGTGCCCTACCACACCTGCTTTGGACTAACCTTCTTAAAGCTTTCAGTTAGCTTTCTCCAACAAGCACAGATTTAAGAGCAGGAGCAATGGAGTAACTTCTGGCCGCTATTTCAGGTTGAGACAGATGGCTATTTAAAGCTTACAATGGAGGGGTGAGGGAGGCTGGGTGGGTAGTAGTGGCAAGCCAGCCGAAGACATGCCTATCTCCTGCAAGGGAACCTCCTTTTTTTTTTTTTTGGTCTGAGGTTCTGAATGTTTTTTTCTCTCTGCCAAGACTTTGAACAGGGAGCAGATGACCCACCCAAACCCAGCAGATGTCTCCTGGCAAAGGCATTGCCAGTTGCCAAAGGATTTACCTAAAAGAGCCCTCAAATGTACCCATTATCACTAAGCTGGCAAGCTGTCTTATGCTTGGGGACTTTCTCTTGTCCTGCCCAATGCGTTTTTTGCTTTCCTTCCTCTTTCCAGCGTGCACCCCCAGCTCATCCTTTAGAGACTTTCGCAGGGACAGGGCTGTTGGAAGTGACTTCTTCTCCAGCCATAGTAAGGTTGGGGAAGTGGCAAGAGAGGAGCCCCTCTTCTACCCCCGACCCCAATAGACACAAACCTTTCTGGCTTAAGTTTCTAGTCCTGGCAGCATACGAGCCACAGCTGTCAAAGGAACTCCTCGTGCCTGTGGGCACCCTGAGTGACCCCAGGGACAACGGATCAGCTTGACAAGAACTCTCTGTGAGGGACTAATCAACCATGGTCACATGGAGTTCCCTGTCCTAGGTAGGGACATTACTCTACTCTAGAAGCCTAAAAGCTTTTCCTTTAAAGAACCTGTGTCAGCTTTTAGTGAACTGGCTGGGACTGTCTGGGCTATTAATAGCTGTGAGGATTTGGAGATCCCTACCTTTCAGAGATGGAGGGAAATTCTTAGAGAGGTGTCGGTAAACAGAGCCAGAAGGAAGAACACACCAGTATGGGAAAGGAGTTTGGAGAATGGGGGCTTGGAGCTTGTTCCAAGCCAGGGACAGGGTGGAGTTGACATGTGTAGAGGGTAATCATGACCACCAGATTCTGAGCTGGCAGTCAGGTTAAGGTGGCCCCACCCTTCACTGTGGGAGAACACAGGGTCAGGGCTAGCGTCTTGGCCTCTGCAGCTCCCCTGGGGTAGGGCCAGCCACCTGAGCTGTGACTAGTGTCCCTGAAGAGGGGTGGTGTGGGAGGGCCACTAGGGTGGCACTTGAAGGCAAAGACTGGTCCTGGGCAGCCATATTGAGCCGAGCAGAAGCCTTGTCTGAGGAACCTCTGGTCCTGGCTTGTGTACAGGTAGCAGAGGCAGCAGGCCGTGCCGGGGGGACATGTTCCTGTAACCTGTGGTCCAGGGGATGTTACGGTGGACAGTGCATCTGGAGGGCGGGCCACGCAGGGTGAACCATGCTGCAGTGGCTGTTGGCCACCGAGTGTACTCCTTCGGGGGTTACTGCTCTGGTGAAGACTACGAGACACTACGTCAGATAGATGTACACATTTTCAATGCTGGTAAGCCAGTTCTGGTACCTTTCTTGGGTTCCCACATCAGGGGAGCTAGTGGGCACCTGAATGAAATTTGGTGATGGTCCCTGTGGCCAGGGAGGTTGGGTAAAAAATGTTTGGTTTGGGATAAGGTTGCAGCCTGGAGGGAGGGTTCCAGGGCTGAGCAGAGCTGTGCCCACAGTGTCCTTGCGTTGGACAAAGCTGCCCCCAGTGAGGCCTGCTGTCCGAGGGCAGGCCCCTGTTGTACCCTATATGCGGTATGGACACTCAACCGTCCTCATCGATGACACAGTCTTCCTTTGGGGCGGACGTAATGACACGGAAGGGGCCTGCAACGTACTCTACGCCTTTGATGTCAGTGAGTATGGTCTCAGTGATGCCTTGGGGCTGAGAAAGGGGTGCTTGGGGGAGTATTGGAGAAGGGAAGGCCAGAACTAAGGTGGATGTGTTAGCTGACCTGTGTCATTTTCTTCTCTCTCTCAAAAGATACTCACAAGTGGTCTACACCCCGAGTGTCAGGGACAGTCCCTGGGGCCCGGGATGGACATTCAGCCTGTGTCCTGGGCAAGATCATGTACATTTTTGGGGGATATGAACAGCTGGTAAGTCTGGAAAGAATGACAGTTTTATACCAAAAAGATGAAGGGAGGGAAATCTAGCATGGTGGGACAGGAGGCTTTGAGTGGAAGGATGGAGGACCAGAGAGGACCCATTGACACCCCGTTTTTTTCTCTCATCACTCAGGCAGACTGCTTTTCCAATGACATTCACAAGCTGGATACTAGCACTATGACATGGACTCTTATTTGCACAAAGGTCTGCCCTTTGTTCTGTCGGATCCCCACCTTTTGTTGAAATCCTGGGAAGTTCAGTTAGCTTCCCCTCTGTGAGCCCGTGTTGACCCGTCTCTCTGCTCTTGGCTAGGGTAACCCTGCACGCTGGAGGGACTTCCATTCAGCCACCATGCTGGGCAATCACATGTATGTCTTTGGGGGCCGTGCTGACCGCTTTGGGCCGTTTCATTCCAACAATGAGATTTACTGCAACCGAATCCGAGTCTTTGACACGAGAGCGGAGGCCTGGCTTGACTGCCCACACACTCCAGTGCTCCCCGAGGGGCGCAGGAGTCACTCAGCCTTCGGCTACAATGGGGAGCTGTACATCTTTGGTGGCTATAATGCAAGGCTGAACCGGCACTTCCATGACCTCTGGAAGTTTAACCCTGGTAAAGAACATTACCCTCACGGGAGGGATAAAGGACAGCGAGGTGGCAGGAGTCAAGTGAGGGGCTGGGGTGGGCTGTGTGTAGGGTGTCTGCATTGGCCAGGTACTGAACCTCTATGAACGTCTCTTTCCAGGGTCCTTTACTTGGAAAAAGATTGAACCAAAGGGCAAAGGGCCGTGTCCCCGCCGGCGCCAGTGTTGCTGTATTGTTGGCGATAAGATTGTCCTCTTTGGGGGTACCAGGTTAGAGAGGGCGGGCAACAGAAGGTGGGGAGGTGCCTGAGTGAGAGGGTCACGTGGACGGCTCTGCCACCTGCTTCTTCCTCTTTGCGTCTGTACAGCCCCTCTCCCGAGGAAGGCCTGGGAGATGAATTTGACCTCATAGATCACTCTGACTTACACATCTTGGACTTTAGTGAGTACTTATTTCTGAAGTGCTCCTACGGGTCAGGTTCTGTCTGGGTGGTGGCCAGGGTGGGACCTTTCCTTTGCTCTGACTGTCCTTCAACTCTTCCGTTAAAGGCCCTAGTCTGAAAACTCTGTGCAAACTAGCAGTGATTCAGTACAACCTGGACCAGTCCTGTTTGCCCCATGATATCAGGTAAAGCTAGGGGTGGCAGGGGAGAAGGGGTGGCTTGAGGGTGAGTGGCAGCACAGGTGTGCCCTAGTTAGCTCAGCCTCAGGGTGCAAAAGACATTTCTATGTGCTGGAGATGGAGTTTTTGTGCGGGGGGGGGGGGAGGTGCAGCCGTCACGTGACAGCTGTGAGCGCTGTGACAAATTTACAGTCACATTCAGGAGCCCTGCTTCCTTACGCAGTTTGTTTGGTGATGTCTTGAGAGTGGCTGAGAAATTTCAGGGTTGACTGTAAAATAGAAAACAAGAATCCCTGGGTCCCCTTAGTTCCAGAAGTGAGAAAGGTCCTGGTCCCTTGCGTCTTGAATTCAAGTATTGAGTTCAAATCAAGCACCGAATGCCACTCTGTGTATCATTTATTCTTGCTGGCCATTCTGAGACTGCCCTACTCCTTGAGCCAATTCGTTCTTAACTTGCTCAGGCTGTGTGTCCTTTGGTGACACAGAGCTTAT